CAAGGTTTAATCTAAGTTATATACAGGCACACATACCAGTCTTGGGTCAGTGTTCAGGTGGAGGGGTGGAGGGGTGGAGCAGCAGACAGAGGAAGGACATAATGTATTCATTCTGCTGTGGAGATCACGTGTTTTGTTAACAACACATCCACACCGGTGTCCGCCCTCATCACCAAAGGTTCCAAAATCTCATTGTCTTTCCAAGTTGGCATCTTCGTCAGGATCTTACCTGCATGACTTCTGTTTTTCATGCTGAGATTTTATTCTTTTGTCCGTAGATGCACTCTATGAATGTGTGTGTGAATTGGTAACAGTAACTGGTAATGTCAACACACTGTACTGTTCAGTGCTTTGAGTGGTCATCAAGACTAGAGCATTTTATAAGTACAAACCATTTAACATGTAAGTAAACATTAGGCATTGCAAAACTAATGGAGCAGTTGAACATACTCAATGTACTGGTGGAGCTTAAACAGCTGTTTAAGCTCCACCAGTACATTACCCTGAGGAGTTAGCTGACTCCTCAGGGTAATAACACAGCAAGAGGGACTAAAAGGAACTATCCTAACCTGAGCACCTTTAAGTTGAAAAGGCCAAAAACAGACTATTAACTTTGATTAAACTTTGGACAATATGTTGCAACTTTTCCCTGTTTAAGTGTCCTTTGCTACTGGTGAAAACTTTTGTCATTGATGAATGGTGGATGTTCACTGAGCTCCTGTTTTTATCTCAAGCAACTGCTCAGCTGCTCAGAGCAGGTTTGGTGTCATTAGTTTTGATTGGGACACAGAGAAGGAGGTTGGATCCATCTGGAACACAACCTGGTGTGTTCAAACAGGAAAATATTACATGAATCACACACACACACACACACAATATTGTAATTGAGGCCAAAGAACTCTATTGTTAAGATAAGCTGTAGGCAAAAACTGTTCCGCTGAGTAGTGCATCAGTGGCCACTGCCAACTCCTACAACAACATGGGTGGAGGTTAATGATGATGATAGAATGGATCATCTTGTTTGGTTTATAATTAGAAATGAGCTATTTGGGCTGAAGTAGGTTAGAAGTGGATTCATAGGAATCCCATTTCCTGGGATTTCACCCTATAATGACTACAGTAAAGACAGGATTATGTTTACATTCTACATCAAAAAATGTGAATGTTTACTTTCACAAGTTGTTTTCTTTTTATATTTGTCTAGAATGATTTTTTTTCCTTTTCAGTACATGCATCAGCCGATATATCGGAATCAAATGTATTTTACTCCCCAATAATCTCCATAATATTCAGTCAATATCAGTCAGGCTCTTGTACTCACTATGTAAAGGGTCACTCCTCTAAAATCTAACCCAAATTAATCCCACAGGCCCAAACAACACAAGCAAAAAAAAACAGTCTTACAAAAGTTGGAAAAAAAAAATAAATAAAATTTGCCCATATCTGAATGACACAAAGCAGAAATGTTACTTATTCCATGTGTGAAAGGGGTATGTAATACTCTAACATCTTTTGCCTCCTTCTCCTCTTCACACAAAGGCATGAGGAAGGCACGTGTGTTCAGCTGAACACACAAAACATTTGGTTGTTGGTTGCAGAATTGTCTCAGATTGCCTGAACAATATATAATTTCCTATGCACGTAAATTGTTGTATCACTGGAAAATGCAAAATATAACAGCACAAACGCCGTTAGCAGAGAAAACAGTGTCAGCAATGCTTGTAATTAATTATCCATTTTTGTGTTCTTCACGTGTAGATAAGGCTAATGTCAGTTGTTTTCTTCTAGAGGAGAGTCATGCGATATGGATTCTAACAAATCAGCAAAGGTTACTTCATGACCAAAAAGATTGTCTATGTCATTGTTTCCAAATATCTCTGTTTCTGTTGTTGTATTCTGAACTGTGACCCCAGAGTTTTCAGGCTAAACGGAAACAGCAGAGTCTCTTAACTTCTCAGTTTGAGTGGTTCTAAAACTCAGCAGTAGTGTGGATGCCAGGCATATCAGGAGAGTTGATGCATTTTCAAAGTAATAATTTAACTTCAGTTCGGAAGCTGGACCACACCTCGACCATTCCTCTATTTACCCAGCCTCCTTCTTAATTTCCCACTTGTCTATCCTTTCCTCCTTCCCTCCACATTCCCCAACACCAACCATCCAGCCACCTCTATCACTCAGCCGACCCTCTCCCGTCTCTCCCACATGACGTCAACTGATCCTATCCAGTAACTATGTAGATCTAGGGGAGCTACTTCAACAATCCATCATTGACACTATAGGCAGCTCAGGGAAATGCAGACCAATCCCGGTTCCGTGCACTCCCTCACCCTGATGATGTCCAACTTTTCACGGACACAGCTCCTTCCACAGGTTCTTCGGCTATTGCAGAGGAAGATGATTCGCCTCTGCTTAGCCGCAGAGCTCAAATCTCTTGGTTCAGACTCCTTCATCTGTGCTTCATGAAAATATATCCCATAATTATAGCTGCCATTCTTTGGGAGCACAAATGGTCCAGGAAGTCTATAGTCATCCACACCAATAACACCGCAGACATAGAGATCCTTATGCAATTCCTGCACTGACTCACATTAATCTCAGCCCAACACCAGTTCATCCTTAGCCCACATCCCAGGTTACCCGAACAACATCGCAGATTCACTTTTTTGGTTCTAATTTCAGCAAATCAGTCTCTTGGCCCCAGAATTGGAAACCTACCCCATACCAGTCCCACCATTTTCAGCCATGATTATCAACTAAGTCCACACTTGGAAATCCTCGTTCACACCTCACAAGAGGCCATCCTGAACAGCCTCGCCTCAAGCACTCTCTCAGCCTGCCCTACTGGAATTTCACGCCTCATACCACCTTCTCTTCCCATCTCTCGACCCCATGTCTATATACAGTTTAATTACCCATTCTCAGTTTATTTAAAAAATCTGGTCCTCCACCATCCAGGTCCTTGGCCGCTGGTCACCACAAGCATTTCATTCCTACATCCACAAAAACCTCAACGATATCAGTCAAGCCCAAACTCAACTGAGCTAAATTTAAATCTGAGTTTTTGGGGGTTAGACATGCAGGTTGGGCTGAAATGTGCCCAGGATGGAACCCCCACACTGAGTCTCCATGTGCCCAGTCCAAAGTCATATCCTCCCAGACCCGCCTGACAGAGACATCCACAAGATCCTATACTTTCCATTCTAACGATACACTGTCGTCCAAAAAACGTAGAACTGTAAAGAACTAAGACTCAGTTGCTGTATTACTTCACTGCAGTTCCAAGGTGGAAACATTGAGCCACGGCATGATTATTACTGAACATGATGATGTTATATAGCATATAAAAAAACACCATACGCACAACAAAATTGCTGCAATGAAAGCAAGAACCCCACATGCAGGTTACAGTCTTGTCAAAGGAATTTTGCCATCTTAGGGCCATCGTGTTCAGTGGCACAGAATTAAAGGTTCGACGCACAGAATCAACTCTGTTGATGTTCTGTCCCGAGTAACATGCATGGGGTGCACAGTGAGACAAATTTATTCTGTCCAGAGTCCACTGTCACAGGTCCACATAGACACGAATCACTAACTAGTAAGGTTTGTGTGATATGGCATGCATGAGTAGTAGTAGCCATTAAACTTAAAGAGAAAATGCATGTTTGAAATATTGAAAACTCTTGTTTTCTCCTAACTCTATGGTGAAGCTGCAGAAAATCTTTGCTGCAGATGCGTCCAGTTAGGTCACAGTTCTGACATCTAGTGGCAGTTCTTAATAGAAGTGCACTCGACAAACAGGGCGAGAAGTCTCTTTTCAAAGTGAGTGTGCAAATGGAGACATCGATGTGTACCTCATGTCTGTGCTCAATCACAACTTTTGTGCTGATGATAACAGTTTTATTTGCCACAAGGTCCTTGTGCTTGTTTATTTTCTGTGTGCGATTTCATAATAAATAAGCAAACAACATAAAAGTTGACTAATTCAGAATCAAACTAATGCACACAAATACAAAAACAACAAAAACAGCAAAAATAGAATCAAGCCAAATCGACCTTAAACTTGTAAAGCACATCTGAAGAAGACAAGAAAACAACACATTGTAACAAATGCAACCACAAATGACTAAAACACAATCATCAGATTAGTACATTTGCCAAACTGTATGGCATTGTTGCTTTTCAGATGATGAACATTACAGATTCCCACTGATTTTTCATTCTAAAATCCACAACCATCCTCTGTCCAGACTGTGAACTCTGACCCTGCCTCAGTTTCTCCCAATAGTTGCGATCTGAGAATTAAAGCTTATTTGAGCCAGCTGTCTCTCAGCGCTGAGTGAATTTTGTAAAAAGTCTAAGCAGCGTTGGTCCATGCTGAGTGAACTGTTTTCACTGGATCTCTCCACAGAGCTGGCTGTGCAACTGCCTGGCTGTAAATCCCAGCTCTGGCCGGCACAGACTCGTGTTCACTTTAATCCGTCCAGCGGCGGGCGGCGATGGGATTTGTACGACGGTTTGGCTTCAGTTTCCATGTAAACAGAAATTGAGGTTAATGCTGGGGACGGCTGGACCGTCACTCACTGTCAGCTTCACATCAAATACCAACAGCAGAACCACCACTGAAGCTACTCACCACCTGCACAATTCTACTTCTACCACTGCTTGTGTTTTCTTATTAACTTAACACTAGATGAGCATCTAAAACACTACTGTTTTAATCACGCAGTAACTATTACAAAGTAGAAGCTTTTGTGTATGTGAACTGTGTAGACGGTTATTTTGCTAATTTATGTGCATACACACACACACACAAAAACACACACACACACCAACAACAATTACGATACACCCGCAACCCAAAAAGCCAGGTGTTCGAAAAAAGAATGTTGTTGACTTGAAGGCCAGTGGCAAAAGTGGTGCGTGTGTTAATGTTAATAAATAATAATAACATTGTGAACATATAAATAGATGAGACGTTCAGTGTACAGATGCTCACTCACCTGTTAGAGGCACTGCTTCCTCTCTTGGCTGACGTGGTGCGACCGGCTCTCTGCTCGGTGTTCATTCCAGTTTCTGAAAAACAAACCGTCAATTCAGGTTAGACACTGATTGCTGCTGGGTGTCTCACTCCTGACCGGAGGGAGACAGCAATGAAGGTGGACAAGTAACACTGTCTCACCCTGCTACAGGCTCTCTCACACACACACGCACTAAAAAAAACAACTGCCATACACACCCACAACACAAACTGAAATAGAGGCTACAGCACAGCATGTTGCACACACACACACACACACACACATTCACACACAGACCCAGCGGGCTCAGCCGGCCTCTTTAACAAGCAGCCTCAGAATCTAATTGGCCTCCATCTGTCAGACCTGAGTTAATTCTCTCTCACACTCATGTTGCTTTGCTCGATGCAACAACACAACATACCTGTCTATGAGCCTGAGAGAGACGGACAGGGTCTCCATGCCAGAGTTCTGAGATTCATTTTAGAAAATGCTGATGACTCCTGGCAAGTGACCACTGGACCGTTTGTGTGCTCTCTTTATTAGCCCCAAACAGCCAGCGGACAAGTGCTGACATTAGTTGTAAGAAAACTAAAAATGGACTCAAAAACCGTGAGATGGTGATGTGCCTGTGCTCGGTGAGCACATCGACACAAGCATAGAAAAGTAAAATGATGCTGTTATCATTAAGCAGGTTATGCACTGTAATGTCTGATATTTTGGTGTGAACATTTTTCTATAATGTTAGGAATCTGTAGCATCTCGTCAAGTTCTCCAAATTTTCCCATTTCTGTTTTATTTTGTCATTACTAACATTTCCTGTCTTTTCAGTTCCTGAGTCCAGGGCTGCGTTCAGCCTGGACAAGACATAGCAACATGTTTATTTAAATGTAAACAGCGGTGCAATGAACCTCTTGTTGTGATACGCAAGCATTGCAACCTAACTGGTAGCTGTCATAGTTAGAATTTGGAGGTGGATAAAATTGGTTTATATGTGTTTAATACTTCATAATGGATGTTACAGTATGTGCCTTTGGTAATAAAATAAGATAAAAATTAAACAACTCTGATCTTATTGAATAAATCATTATAAAAATGCTTGTGTCTTCTTTCATCTCCAATTGATTTGAACACCAAGCAGAAGTTGCCACATCTATAGAGAACTTAAAAATCCATTTTCTGCACTGTGTATTTAAAACGGCAGGATTCATATACACATCACTGGTGATTGGGCAATCTTGTTGGCTTATCTTACCCTCATGTACATGCATTCCAGCTCTGTTGTGTTGCTTTTTCATGTATGATCCTTGCAAGAGTTTTTAGACTTGCATACATGAATTCATTTCCTCATTATGTTAAATGAAATCTGTCACATTTGCTGTTGCACTTCAGCTGGTTAAGGACCCTTCATCTCTCTGTCCCCCTCAAAGGTCAGAAACATCAACACGTATTTCCATTGAGTTAAACTAGTAGATCTTCTTAAGTTCAATTTGGTTCTTTCTGTTATTTCCCTCCTCTCTCCTTTTTCCTCCATTATTCAGACGATTGAGAATTGCTTTCAAGTTGAAATATTTTCACCTTGTGCACTCACAGTTTACAATGCTTCCAGCATATTCACACTAGTCATGTCTCGTCACTAACGATTCCCCTCTTTCAGCTGCAGATCCTTAGTGAACAATGGGAGCCAGCTCACAATCGTTGAAGTTAAGGTAAAAAGTGGATCCAGCATCCATTTCCCAAAAATGATGTTGAACAACTACAAAAGTTAAATGATTTTTGAATACTCTCTCTCCTCTGTGATAGCTCAAGTTTTGATGAATTTCAAACAGACGCAGGCAGCTAACAATCTAACAATGTTTCCACTGTGAAGATAGTTTGATACTGATAATGATCAGATCACCAATTCATATTCTCTTGCCTCTTTCCATCTAAAAGAAGTCTCCCAATGGTATCTACTCATGGTTAGAATACAATTAAACTCACAATGTTAAGCATACTTTTTCTTCAGTGAGACAAAAACTTAGCATCTTGATAGTTTATAGCAACAAGGTGTTGGGATGATAATATATATCATGTAATGAAAGATACAATTCTATTGCTTCGTATTATGCTCTAAATGCTTATTTTGCTGTTGCAAAAAATATTTGTCATCATTTTGATGGCAGTTTGTGTCTTTCCAGCCAAAACAAAACAAAGAGTTTGTATCTAAAAGAGCGGCTACATCTCTTGCATGACTGTGTGAAAGGTCCGACACCGATCAGAGAACTGTACATAGCAAATGATGCCTCGGACAACTCTGAGCTGTTTTTACCTCCTTCACAAGAATCATGTCAAACAGTACAGAGTCGATGGATGAGAGCCACATAAGTATAGGTGAGGGCTCAAAACAAACGTCACAACCTGCGACACAAAATATGACAAGGAATCGTGAAGATGGGAAGAGAGAACAGCTGCTGTACAACTTAGCTTCTAAGACAGGCAAACAGTTTACACATTCAAATTTGCATTTAAAGTAAAAGGTCATGTTTGTTGGGGATGGCAGCATCAGTTGGTTCACCACGTCTCAACAGCTACTGGAATGATTTCAATGGAGATATTTATGTTGCTCTCAGGGTGAATTGAGATAGAACTGCAGTATTAGTTCAGCTTCACAGAGCCATTAGCATGATTGTGAATTACATGTCCAGTGCTCTTGTGATGTTTTACCGACGATGGTTCCCAGACTCAGGACAGAGTTGAGAAAAAGCTTTTAACTATGCTGCATCTTTCTTCTGCAGCACAAGGAGAACCTGAAGAGCGGACGCTGTTGGTGACATCAAGTCAGTTCTAAAAGATCTGAAAATACTCCTCTTGGTAAATGAAAGGTTTTGTTTTTAAATGTATTGCTCTTGTGTCTGGTTTCTCGTTTTTTCCTTTTCCTTTTATTTCATTTCATGACATTTCATCCATAGTCTATTTTTATTCTAAACCGGTAACAGCAAATGCATGGAAGAGCTTGTGGCAAAATCACCTTTTTGGGATTATTTTAGCTCTTAGTCTGACGCAAGCATATTAAATAAACTTACTAAGTGGAGTTATTTGTTTTCTTTATAAATGTGTTGTGCAGCAAAAGATTCAAACGTGTCATATGTCTTTGTGAACCCTTCTTTACCCAATCTGAGTTTAGTGATGTGTCACTGTTTGTGTGTGGGGGTGGGGGGGTGGTGGGGGAGTGAGAGAGATAGACACATACACAGACCCATTATATGAGCAAAATAAAATGACAAAATCACCTGAACAATCATCCAAAAGAATCGCCAATCCATATGTTCATCCTATCACTCAACCATAATTCTGAATGGCCAGAGCCAACAAGTACACAGTCATCACAGTGAGACTAAGAAGCCCCCACTAAACAACATATAGTGCGATATATAGTGAGTTTACCAGTTTGCAGTGGAGTCCAAAGTTTTTTAATACCCTATCTGGTGCACTCATTGTTTCCCATAATGCATAGTGAAAAGTAGTGTCACTAACTGAGCAGCGTAGAGACAAGAGGAGCGAGAGCAGCAGGAACAGCCCGACCTGTTGTACAAATGTAAACAGAAGCAAATCAGCACAAAGTGCAGGAAACAAGTTTTTTTCTACATTTAAAGAATCATTCAGTATTTTTATTTAACCTCAAAGTATTAATACCAAGTGTAAAATAAACATTTCAAATTGAATGTAGGATTCTACATCGGTTGACACTTTGTATGTCGTAATATTGCAATAATGACGTCATTACCGGAGCAGAGAAAATGCTTAGAGTAGTGTTCGAAAGCGTTTTTTTTATTTTGCCGACGAGTTCACTACATAGTGCTCTATATAGTTATCACTATATAATGAAGTAGGGATTAGTGAGTGAGTGGGTGATTTGTGTGTATAAAGTCGTGCTAGTAACTCTGTGAAGCTGTATTTTAGCACAGGTGCTTTGACCTTAATGTAAACATGCTTGTTTTTAGCACGTGTAATGATTAGAATGTTCGTTGGTTAACCAAAATGTGCCCTAATGATTTTGTGAGGATAAGACAGCGCATTGTGTTAGCTGGGCTCAAAAAGTCCCTTCCCTGTAGCCATAGCAACAAACTAACTAAAAAAACTTTACAGCTTTCCCTAGGTCTCTTTATTCAGACCTGTCCTCTTCAGTCACCATGTGGGTCTTGTAATTGAAAGCTGAGAGCAGTGTATCTCTCCATGACCTCCATCAGTGCTCGGTGCTCAGCTCAGAGGACCCCCTGGATGTCAGACTGCGTTTGGCGAGGCAGCAGCTTGCACTCTCTCCTACTGCAGCGCTGACAGTTGGCAGCAGGGTTGTTTATGACTGCCACAACGGCTGCAGCTTGTAGGACATTAGTCTTTTAGTGCGAGGTTTATGAGCACCGTCACTCACCATCTGTTAACTGCCGGGGTGCCTTTAATCGTTCTCCCCACCAGAGACCGATAAAGCTGCCAGGTTGCCGCCGTGCCTGCAGCGTGCTGAATGGGTGATTGTGCATCATCGACTGAGAGATTACAGCTATTTGCTTGCTTATTGCTTTGCATTGTTTTTGACAGCACATCAGCTTTACGGAGGGGTGGGGAAAGATGAAGGAGAAAGAAAGAAAATGGGAAAATGAGAGAGGAGGGAAGGAGGAGAGTGATGACAGAACAATTTCACACACTCATGGTTATTGGTTTTCAGGGACTGGTTATTCAAAGTTTGGCAGGAAATCCACAGCAGAGGAGTGGCTGATCCCACAATGATCACTTCTGTAACTTCTTTCCATCTACAGTCTTGTTGTTCACCATTTGTCAGGGAATGTCTGTTTGCCGTACAGTGACGGGGAATATCTGCGTTCCGCCAGATTTGTGTTTGAAACATTCAAAGAGACTGAACATTTTGAAACAGATCATCATGAGGTCATAATCAGGCAATGGCTCAAACTGCGCCTGAGGAATTCAAAACATTTCAAAGACAAACACAATTGTTAAATCAGATCAGAGTGGCAGCACTTAATAGATCCTGTTCAATAGAGTTTTCTCTTGAAATCAGTCAGACTTGACTGCTCCCCTTTCTGAGGATGTATCCTTGGTTGTGAGGCCTTGAAGTGAAAACACAACATACACCCTCTTTCAGCTTAGAACATCTATATCTTAATTTGCCATTTAACCATTGTGATATTGATAATAGCAGTAGGGTATTTGTAGGGGGGTAAAGGGGCATCGCATCCTCTTTTAACCAAAATTACCAAACATCCATCCCCCAGAGTAGGGCTCCAACAATTAATCTATTTAAACAATTGATTATTATAATTGCTGGCAACTAATTTAGTTATTGTGTGATAGAGAAAGTGCTGCATTCAGTATGTATGGATGTGTGTGTGAATGGTCATCAAGATTAGAAGGCTCTATATAAATATGGACTGTTTACCACGATCAAAGTCTGTTCTTACTGTGTGGTGACAGTGCTAACCACTGCACCACCATGCTGCCCGGAGAACCGCAGTTAATAAAAACATTCAATAAATGAAAGGTGAGCTGTAGCAGGTGCTGGACCTGAGCATTGCGGTAACGCTGGAGCTGAGTGGGAAAGCAAAGCTCTCAATTTACCAGTCGCTCTTTGTTAACCTCTTACCTATGCTCATGAGCTTAGGTTGTTACCAAATCAAACAGGAAGCAAGCGACTGAAATTAGTTTTAGAGCCTCTGCGACTTCTGTAGGAGGTCTTAGAGGTATGTTCAAAATACACTGGAGAGATTATATATCTTATCAGGTCTGGAAATGCCTTGGGATCTGCAGGTGGAGCTGGAAAATGTTATTGGGAGACGGGCATCTGGATGACTTTGCTTAACTGGTGCCACTGATATTTATAATCTTTAACCGACTTAATCTTTGTGTTTTAACTTCATTGTTGCAGAAGAAGTGATGCCCTGTTATCCAGGAACATAAATATGACTTCAGAAGGTTATTGTTTAAAATGAATCTTAATCAAGGTAAAAGTTTGAAATAATCTAATAATCTAAAGTAATATTGATTTTAAGTCGTGTTAGTATTTTTCTGAAATGGGACATTACTAATCATAGGCTTGTGAATGCACACTTGCACATTGCTGCAAAGCTGAGGATATTGGGAAGGGCCAAAAAATGTCATGATCCAAGCTAAAGCTATGGTAACCATCATTTGTTCCTTCCAGCACATCATCTTGAAAGATGACAGGATGCTTTCATATGTTCAGGAGCATCTACAGTATCAAACTTGATTTTACAGGAATCATTTAAGTGTCTTTTGCATTTTGTGTTTCTGTCATTCTGCTGTGGTACAACACAGATGGCATCAAGAGGCATCCTAAAAATGTTTTATTTATAAAACCAATTCAGCTTTACTGATTCTTCTTCTTTCTTTTTTTTGTCTGGGCAGGAACTACATCCAGGTGAGCTGCTATACCCCCGATCCCATGACCAACCCTGAGCATCAGCTGTTGTATGGGCAAATCAAAAACAGTGCTGGGATGATTCAAATGCAGCTTACCACCTACATGGCACATAAACACAAATCAGTCACCACCCGTCTGCGGCATTATGTTTTACAGAACACAGACACACAGGAGCTTCTCATTCAGACCATCTGGATGTTTAAAGTGGAAATGACACATCCATTTGGTTTCCTGTTGCTGAACACTTTTCGTCCCCACCACATCCTGGTTGCATTACTGTCTGTCATTCTTCATTCACATGATGACTCAGAATAGAATGATGCTCATCCTGCTCAAATGTTCTGCTGTAAAATGGTCTCTTACAATAACCGTTTTCAGACAATTTGATGTATTGATGCTATCAGGACGTGAACAAGATGTCAACAAGTAAAAGTGTTTCTGGAACAAATCACCACTAATCTTTCCATCCACCCATCCACCCATCATCATCCATCATCCAGCCAGCCATCCACCCATCATCTATCCAGCCAGCCACCCATCATCCATCCATCATCCATCCAGCCATCATCCATCCATCATCTATCCATCCATCATCCATCATCCATCCACCCATCATCATCCATCATCCATCCATCCATCATCCATCCATCCACCCATCATCCATCCATCCATCATCCAGCCAGCCACCCATCATCCATCCATCATCCATCCAGCCACCCATCATCCATCCAGCCAGCCACCCATCATCCATCCATCTATCCATCATCCATCCAGCCATCCATCCATCCATCCACCCATCATCCACCTATCATCTATCCATCATCCACCCCTCATCCATCCATCATCCAGCCATCCATCTATCAGCCTCCATCCACCATCCAACTCTTCAACATGGTGCAGAGTAACCACACTGTCTCACAATAACAACTCTCTATTTTCTTGTTTCTTTGTGTGCACTGCCTCCAGTGTTTCAAGGCTCCTTTCAAAAGCTGAGCACTGTATGTGCTGTTGCCTTCTTCACCACATCACCATCAGTCATGAACAAATGCTTGTTCCTGTGACCTCTGTTGCATTCTGGGAATAAATGAGTGGCGGCCCTCACTCTTGTCACTAAGTTAAATGAACTTTACACATCAGTTCAATGCACCTGAGACATTCATTCCATTGAGATGTGTAGTCACAGGAGTCACCTGTCAGAGTTACTTCCCAGTTGCATCCGTTCTCACTGCAGTAAAATAACATATGAGAGTTCCAGGGTCACTTCTTCACACCCTGCTGATCACAGCCGCTGCTGAAATGTTCAGACCACTTTTAGAAACTCTAACGCCGATGCTATTTCTCATCTGTGACCAGAAACTGTGAGGATGTGAGCACTGACATTTCAACAATTTTATGGATGACTAAACCGAACCTTGAACTCTTCTCACAATAATGAATGTGCAGGCTGAAGTGGATGCTAATGTCCGACATGGTTAGCAGTTTTCATCAAACACACATTTAACATTTTTTACTTTCTTTAAAAAATACACCTTTAAAACACACACAAACACACACTGTCTTTTCTCCATGACATTGACTTGCATTCATTTCAAGGAGTGTTACTCTAACCAACCCTAACCCTGACCTCGAACCATGTCTTCACCTTACAATTTAAACATTCGTATGATGAGGAGTTGCTCTTTGTCCTCATTTGTACCTCCTTGGCTGAAACCTCATTGAAACTTTACATATAATACCATTATGTTTTTTATGTCTTTGTTCCATTTTTATTTTTACATGTATGTGTATGTGTATCTTACATATTTCTTTTAACTGCGCCATTAAGGACATGTTTTCACCTCAGTCTGTTTGATTGTTTGTTGGTGTGTTTGCCTGTAAGCAGGTTAACACAAAAACAATTTAACAGATGGGAAGAAACCGATCAGTTTTTGTTCAGATCCATATCAGCGGGTGGATCCAGGCTTTTTTATTTCTCATTTATTAAGAAATTGTCCTGGGGAATCATTTATTTACCTTGATGAATAAAAATCAAGCGTATTTAGAGGACTAATATCTATGAGTGTGGTTCTGCATTAATGAATTTAAGAGGAGTTTGAGCATTGACAGAGGTATGTGCTCTACTGAATGGTCCTGTGTTAACAGCGAGACACCAAAGAGTCAAACTCGATGTATGCACCGACATATTTTAAGCTAAAAAAAAATATTTCGCAACAGCTCTATAAAGAAGAAACTGGACAAAATATCCTGGCTGTCAGGAAATGTCCTTGATAGAGTGCACCTGATAAACCAGCTGCTCAGTGTCAACAGCCACTAAGTAAGAGTGCATCAGATCTGACAAGTGATTTTGATAGCTGCTGTGGATGTAGAAACAGTGTCACTGCAGCGTTTGTCCACCAGAGAGCACTGACCTGATGAAATGTGTCAAACACCATTCATTGGTCTTAATTCTTTACTCTTAACATTTAAGGGATTCTTTCTTGTTACATAAAACTATTGTAGGACCAGATTTGTGTGTACTCTACATAATGACACATTGACCTAGATATCTCTACATCAGCAGGCTTTGAAAAGTGTCCTCAGTGTGAGGACTGACAACTTTGTCCACACAGAGACACAAGTACAGAGGCAGGAACACAACGCATGCACACATGCACAGACACACACACATCTGTGCTTGTGTCCCATCCGAGCAGTTGAATGACACAGAGAGCATCCTCTGCATGTTGAACTGCATCAGCTGTCACACACACACACACACACACACACACACACATGGACATGCCTTGTAGGATGTGTCCAGTCACAGTGCAACATCCCCACATGTGTGTTCAGTGGCTCAGGCAGCTCTGAGGTGTGTTGTACTCACGTCTGTCTCGGTGGCAGTCACTCCTGAAATGGGTCATAACAAGAGATGAAGGAGAAGAGGAGCAGAGAGATAAAACCTGACGACTCAGACAGTGAGGGAGAGAAAGACTGAGTCCCTGCTCACCATCAACAGAGGGAGAGAAAGAGACAGAGGGATGGAGGGATGGAGGGGGGGGTGACCGCTGAGTATGGCAGCGGGTTGTACCATCCAACACTCCACTGAGAGGGGTGGAGGAGGGGGAGACTGATTCATTATCTGCAGGAAGAGGGGGTGGGATATGAGCGAGCATGTGCAGTGAGCGAGAGAGGAAGAGACAGCAGGGGGGGAAGAGAGGGAGAGAGAGACCACTGATGGAAGGGGAAGGAACTGCCACATTGGACTCTGAGGTCACTCTCCACTGAACCCCTCTGTGGAAGTTAAAGATGCTCTGTCATTGACTCACCAAACAGGAAATCCCTTGTGTGTGACCTGTGGAGATGCCATGCCCCCTAGTGGAGGAGGGAGTCTGTGTCCCAGCTGTCCATTCACAGCAGGGCATCTGCAACATCTGGATCAACAAATGGTCCATTCACTGCAAATATCCTCTGCTGGGAAAAGATGTGATGCTCAAGGTTCGTATCATCTCGAGGCGCTCATTGCCATGTCATCCAGTCTAGTTTCTACCGTCACAGAGAATGTTGCACGAGTTCAGGTTTCAGTTTTACATTGAAACCAATGTGCACACTTCCATTTCCTTATGATTGCTCCTCTGTCATGACCTCTAATGTCACATAAATCACTTCTGGCATAGAGCAAGAAAATAAAATAAATAAACTATCACTCCTCTTTTACAGTCTTTATGTTTGATTGATTGATTTTATTTGAAGTGCCAATATTTTGTCCATTCACTGGATCTGAATTTTGATTTTAGGGTCAACTACAATAAGTTTTAATGTGGCAATGTTAAAAAAATACACGTTATTTGTCTGCGCCATAAATTACTGCAGCGCATCTTCTCATCCTCTGTCTGAAATGCTCCTTTTTAGTGCTAGCAACCAGCCTATGTTCTGATTGGTCATCTTCCCCATAGTTTTTTGTGGTCAACTGCTTAGAGCGTTTATCACTAAACGTAAAGTCTGAATTAAGTCGTGAGTCCCCGGTGTTTGAATCCTAGCGCTAATCTGACTCACCAAAGTTCAAATCTGAATTTTTAAGGTTCAGATCCAAGTCTCCTGAGGACAAACAGGTCCTGGTTCTGTTTACTTGCATTATTATTACAGCCACTATCAGACAATGAGTGTAAACAACTGCAAGCAAACTGCAGAGTGTATCCTTGGCCACAAGGTGGTGCTACATGACTGCTCCCACTGCTCAGCAGGTGAAGGGTCAGAGAGCAGAGGTCGGACTCGTCTTGAAGAGCACAAATAAAGAAGCTCTCTGATAGAAAACCAATTTTTTGCGAAGAAACAAGAAACTGTTGACGTCGTTCAAAAAAACGTCCTCAGTTTTCTGTAGGATATCAAAAGCAAAAAAAGCTGATTCATGCATGACTTAGAGATGCAATTATGCTCCAGGCCGCAGGAAGGAATTACAGAAAACCTGAATGTAATTTCCATTTTTCTCAGAAAGGAGGATGAATTATATATATCACAGTGAGACACAGAAGAGAAAGATATAGACCATTTTCAGTAAAACACAAAGTTATGTTCTGACAACTTTTTTAATAGCAACCAGATGTGAAATAAGTGACAACTGGATCTGGGTCTTGAGGAATGGTTTCTTGGTTCTTCATGGTTCCAGGAGTAGTTTTTAAATCATAGAAAATCCAGGACATGTTCTGGTCTGGCATCTCTTGGTTCTCTACGGGTTTACCTGGACTTTCACGAAACAGAAAAATATCAATGCTCGGGTCCAAGTCCAAGTCAGGGTCATCACTGCTCAGGTCTTCTTGATCAGCTGGAAACACAGCTGTGACCGAGTTAACGATGGCGTCAGTCTTGTCATAACAATTCAAGCCGAACTAGTTTCTGTTCTGCGTTACGTGTTAAACGTGACATGTTGAAGGTTATTTGGTGAAATAAAAGCTTTACAGAAAAAAAATGAAGGAATGCCTTCACCCTGTGCAGCAGCAGAGTTTTCTCTGGGACAGAAGGACTCCCTTTGCTGTGGAATCTGGCCTTTGTAACTAAGCAGAAAGTTTACTATACTACGCAATATTACATATAATTATGCTTTCTGGGAAAAACCCAAAAGGCCTAATGTGTGCACTTAAAGTTCCTACTCATTACAGCGCTGCATGGGCTGGCCCCAGATTCCATCTCTGAATTACTTTCCCTTTTTTAATGCGGTCTAGTATGTACGAACTGCCTGATGAATTTAGACTCACTAACTTCTTGTTAGACAGTGTTCTTATTATGTCTGCCTTGATGAGTGTTACATAAATAATTGTTCTCTCTTTTTAAGTTCCCCCATTGTGACATTATTGTCAGGTACCATCTAGCGACAACATATGACAGGAACAAAGACATTTATTCAGCGCTGCAAAACTTTCCCCGGTGAACTTATCACTCCCTCTCTCTTTACTGCAGTAGTGATGGACCTGTGAGAGCTCCCACTGACACACTCTAATGTCTTCCCTATGTTTTGTGCCATTGAGAGAAACTGTAACAGAGAAGCCAGGCCCAGCCAGCACAGAGACAATGTTTTCAACTCAAGGCACTTTACATAATAAGGACAAGACCTTAAATGTTATAGAGAAACCCAACAGTTCCCACAACGAGCAAACACTTGGGGACTGTGGAGAGAAAAATGGGGAGAAACTTCCAACAGAACCAGACTCGATGTGGGCGGCCATCTGCCACAGTCTGGGGTGAGCGGAGAAAAATAGGGGAGAGAGGAAAGTTTGGGGTTCAATTTCTTGCCGAAGGACACTTTGGCATGTGGAAGACTGGCATCAAATTGTCGATCTTCTGGTTAAAGGAAGAGCGCTCAAACCCCTGAGCCACAGCTGCTTCAACATTGTTTCTTTAAACCACAAACTTAAAATGTTAAAGTGTATTCCACAATACTGCAATGTGAAGCTCTACAAAGTGGAAATGAAGGTGGATTAACATTTATAATGGAGAAGTTAAGCAATGATGATGGTGATGATGATGATGATGTCTGAAATATTAATATGCTCACGCTATTGAGTGTCCAGTCATTAGTCAGAGTCGGTCCAGTGGATTGTCTCCTCTGGCAGTTGAACACAGCAGAATTGCCCACAGAGTAATCTTAATGTTTTTGAATCAGTTCATATACTGGATAGTGAGCAGCCTTTGAGAACTGTCTGTATCTGTGAAACCTTCATCATGCTAAATGTGCCTAATGAAATCAAATCATCAAATACAAATAGTGAAAAGATTCTAAAATAGGCCCCAATGTCATGCTTCTGATCCAACGTCTAAACCAATCATCTGGGGGCTGCCAGGAGTTACCCATCATGCCCTGAGGTCTTGCACCTGCCGCTGCCTCGATCTAATGATGTCATCATAGTTTATGATTTCTAAATGATGTTGGAGTGAGGCACCATCAGGCTTTATACTGTGTCCACATATGCACTAAAACCCCCCAACAGGCATAATGGCAGTGAGCAGAGAGACAGACTGCCTCCAGAATTGAAGCAGTGTTAATATGCTGATAAAAGTCAAGTGGAAAAATTGACCGAGGTCAGATGGAGGGAAACGTGCCGCGGCCCGACCAACCACCCTCATCTAACCCTGTTTTAATCACAAAATCCATTCCATGATTTCATTTTAATTAAAGCTGTCCTATCTAATTAAGATACCATGAAGAAGAGCGCTAGGGCATCTCCTGGGCCTCTTTATTTATCTTGGAGTCAACCTCTGTCAGCAGCCGCCAAATAGCCTCCCAGCATGCATTTCAACGAGGGCTTATCCATCAGATGGCAGTAATTCACCCAGTTTAGTTCTTATTCTGGAGGGTATTTGCATTTGCATGCATTTTGGTATTTTAGCCCTATTGTTTTACACAATATATTTGACTATATTTTTGATTTCTCCTCTTCACACTCAGTGGGCACTTCTAGTTACACTTATATGTTGGTAACTGGATGTTGAGCATTATTGTTAGTAGTATTACTACTATTGTTAGTAGTATTATTATATGCAGTGCCACAAAAGTGATAAAGGGCTACTACTACCTATATACCTACCTACCTATATAGTATATAGACTATATGTTATTCACAGATAAGGACAGCATCAGAGAGAGAGAGAGAGAGATGGATGGATGGATGGATGGATGGATAGATAGATAGATAGATAGATAGATAGATAGATAGATAGATAGATAGATAGATAGATAGATA